TATTGATCACCAAATAAAGGAAATCCAAGTACTGGAACACCGGCATCTACGGCTTCATATAATCCAGATATACCACCATGACTGATGAATAGTTTAACTTTAGGGTGCACTAAAGAGTATAGAATCAAGTAARAATTTAAAAAATTTAAATCAATACCTAGTTTTAAAATTTTTATAATTTATTTACTAAGAATGTCTCTTTGGGGAAGCCACTTTTTCATCATTACGTTTTTGGGTTTRTTTTCTAATTCATCTTCATATTTCCATAAAACTCTCTGAGGAATTTGAGCCAAGACATCAATAAACGCATTTCTAATGTGTTCTGGTATTGAAGACATTTTAACAGTTGAACCAAAAGTGAAATAAATGACACCATGTGAAGATTGTTCTATAAACTCTAATATATCCTGAAATCATAACATTAAATTATTATATTTTAAACCTTAGCGTAATTAATAATATTATTTTACTTTATAATGTTTAATCATGAAGGTACCTAACTAACTACCTATTACAGTCAAACTTGGCTAACTATAATTTGAAGAGACCGGGAAGAAGTTTGAGATGAAAACGATTTTGAGTTAACCAAATTCAACAGTAATTTAACTTCAGATACCTTTGAATCGTTTTGAACTATTAATATTTGAAATTTGAAATTATATATTTTTTATTTTTTATATAAATGCCAATATTTTTTTTTCGTTGGGCCGAAATTCTTCAAAATTCAACACGAGATATACCTCATAAGTTATTATGATTGCATTCGAAAAATATTAAAGATCGATAATCTTTTTATAAGCCTTTAAAGTTCAAATTTTGAACCATCGATAATTTGCAAATTATTTTGTAGTTTAAAATTCWTAAAATGTTCAATTCTTATTGTTAAAAGTATAATTAATTTAAAACAAGGTAATAAATAGCTTAAACTATAACTAAATAATCTAAAAAATATATAAGAATAGTTTTTTGATAGACATTATAATTTAAAATGTGAACTTAAATAATATTGTACCTTATAATTTATAAGGTATAATATTATTTTATTTTATATTTGTTTAATATACTAAACACCATGAATACAATTTTTTCGGTTAAAATTAGGCCAAACTTTCTTTTTAAAATTTAAC